TTCTTCTGTAAAGATAAAGAATAATAAATATATAAAATCACTTGATACATTGATAAACTTTGGGTTTGTGGTTGTTTCAATAGATGTTTGTGATTTAATGATCTTGTAAATATTTTTGTGTTGGATGTTAACTAATGACCATACAACATTCATTTGTTTTATCATTACCACTGTACACTTTTATTTTAGACTTCAACCCTTTATCAGATTATAATATTATTTTGTTTTATAAAATTTTGTAGAAAAATTTCATCAGATACAGTTTCATGCATAAACGTGCGCGCGTTTCCCCCTACATGTAAACTGCATATCTTTCAGTAATTAATAATGTGTCAAAGAGATATATTTTATCATAAAACACGTTGATATGTATACTAGCATCTTAACAGATTATTTATTATCAGTAAACACCAGACTCTTTTTAATCTTATGATAACTGGAAAAAACGTAAAGTGTGTAGATGAGGCGTAAAGCATATCTTTTAATATAGACAGGGTTTGAAGTTCACCTTGATACGTATTGAGATATGGTGCTGTACTAGCATTCCTTAGTTCATATAGTAGTAACAACTTGATTGAATATAGCATATCATTTTTACAAAACGGTCGAGGATAACCTTGAAGACGACAATGTCGCTATTACATTATAAGGGGTTCAAAACTACAGACTATAACTTACACTTGCGTTTCCCAGTCATGTCATATAAATGGGGCACTAGGTGAGTCGAACATATGAATAAAAATGTGGGATGTCATGGATCTAGACACCAGCCTGTATTACAGAGCTATATACGAAGTTGTTAACGCCATGATGAGAAAGATACATGTATAGATTACAGCTTATATCAGTACTCTACTATTGTCTAAGTAACACTGTCAGTAACAGTCGGGGCGACAATAAATTACCACAATTTGGAAAAGTTCCATAGATAAAGGTATTAATTACTTGGCAACTAACTTTTTGTATTTGGAGGCAACCAAGAAATGTCATCTTACAAAAGAAACTGAATATATGGCACATACTATCTTACACGGTAGTTCATTCTTTGTCTTATTTTGAACTGACAAATGAAGCATAATATGATCCATGCATTTATTAAGCTTGAATCCATTTAAATTACCTAAGTACTTAAAACCCCATTTCATTTCATTTCCTAGCATCATTCTCGGATTGGATCACCAAAACTTATGGGTTTTTTTTTGCATTGCTGTGGAGAACCAAAGAAAAATTGAAGCACCGTCACAAGATATATCCAAAAACTTTACCGTATATAAAACGTAATTAATATTTCTCTTTCTATTAGAGAACAGCATGACAGATTAAAATTGACAAGCATATATTATCTAATTATAGTTCAGAACAGACAACCTGGAGTTTTAGTCTTCTGCCTTGAAGTCTGTATATTTTTTCAAGGACTACATGAGGTGTGAATTGTTATCGCGGCAACGCCTGTTGAAGAAATGCAAACTAGGTTCCATTTTTTCACACATTTTTCGAATATTATACTGACTTCAATGGTAATTTTCGATTTGCCTAGAATTGACTATACAGTTATACACCCAGGGATGGACGCGTGGCGGCGGGTTGTTGTCCAAACTGCTTACCTTAAAGTAGCCTAGTACTTCAGTTTCATATGCGTCAAATCTAAGGTTATGAAAACACGAGATGTTGACACAGATTACGATATTTTTCTTCGATCATGCTTACATTTGTTCCTAATTGTTCTTAGGTAATCAAGAACATATACCTAATGAGATGTATCTACAAAAACGTGGATGCATGCAAATTATCCAAAAGCTTGTCTTACCTTGAGTGGAAGTAGAGCCGACAATGATGATGCTCATTAGAGAAATGAGTGAGAGATGTATGTAGGTGCTGTATAGTATAGATATAATATTCTGGTTGGTGTCAAATACAACATATGGTTTATTTATGTTTTACTCATCTCACAGACAGTGTATGTTCCTATATCTTCATCAAAGCGAGAAAACCTTATCTTCTATTAACGTGAATCATCCATAGTGTCTGTGCAGCCGTATTTTCGTGTTAGAGAATTTCTTCCCAGAGTCGAGACAACCTTATGCAGTTTGTTTTGGATTTATTTGGTGACTCAACCGTCGGGGTGAGATATTTAGATCGATTTGAAATTTGGTTATTCAGCCCATCCTTAAACAAAACATGCTGTAATACTCCGTAATAAGAGCCGAGTGCCTTCACATCTGCATACCTTCAAAGTCTGTTTACGCCATTGTATTAAAAATGGAATTTTTGAGAACAAGTCCAAGACAGAATATGTTTTAGGATATACAAGCGAACTAAAAGATGCAACGCTGTACCTTTTTAATAGTACGGGTCATTTTGTTTACTGAGAGGATTTTTGTAAGGAGAAATTTAAATGTATTAAACATTTTCAAACATTCACAATTATTATTTATTTATATTACACCTCCTTCCTTGTTAGAGCTACGTACTGTATCTTGAGAATTTCAGGAACTCCCATTCAAATTGTAGCAAACCACTGTAAAATTGTAAACGGTAAATATGCTTATTTGCTGATAACTCTTCGGATTTTATGGTCTATTTGCTTTCTAAGAAAAAAAAAAACAAGCACAAATACCTGTAGAATGTTTAAATGAGAATATTTAAAATGTCCCTTTTGAATGAATCCGTGCTGCAACGTCCGAGTTCTATAGCCAATCTATAATTATCTTACAAATAGAGACAATCCATTCTGTGTATGTTTCATAGAACCTGCCCATATCATTTATCTTTCTTATGTTTCAAAATCTCGCCATGGAATGTTGTTAATCTAACTAGTGTTCATGATGACCATCCTTAAAAATAGCCAAGAGTGAAATTACTACCCCTGATCGCGGTGGTTTATCTTCTGTTTTATCTGAGGATATAGATGAATGTGATTTCGTAGAAAACAATTTGATACTGTGGTTAGTTCCAATGGTAGTCTGTTATAATACTGTTGTATAAAAACAGACGGCATTATAGAAACATGTGCTACACCCGTCACCCCTATTACACGCAATTATACTTGTTGTTTAAAGGCGCTAACCTCTTTGATTTAGTTCAAAATAAACTAATACAATTGGCAGATCTTATTTGTTATTTGGATTAGTTATGGGGCCAGTCAGCTTTTACACTCCTCTTTTTATATTGTTTCTTTTTTTACTGACTGTGCCGATAGAGGAATGCAAACTTAGTTTTTTATATTTAAAAACTAAAATGAAATGTCCTACTTTTCTGCAACAACCAGGCTAATGAAGAGAGGTATACACCGCTGTGGTTTGTGACATAAATTTTGAACTGAAGGCGATCCTACGGACTACCCTTATTTCGAATTCAAACTGCCAAGGGTTCTTTTACAAGGCCACCAATGTGTACACGGGAGCTCGGCTTTTCCGAACATTCAAACGACTAGACGCTATTACTTCCTAGGACTTCCGTTGTGCAACACAAGGGGAAACTTTCTCGGCTAAAACCTGGTTATTTACTGAACCACGGCGACTCCCAGACGAATACTAACTGCGATCCCAATAAACAAATCAACATATAAAATGCAATGCTATCGATAGCTTTAACTTTGAACCAAATCAAAGAGCTTTAAAAGTAGCTAAGCCGCTAACTCAATATCATCCAAAGTCTTCGACATCGAAAACACAAATTATTTGTCAATTTAAATCAACATTGGTGTTGTTATCGTATCTTGAAAAGATGGGCTTCTGATATCCAATATTTAAGACAAAATAAACATTATACAATTGGTACACGAATCATATACCATATGCTATTCCCCAAGTCATGTCAATCGGTGAAGCCATATTCTTATTTGGAGAGCATGCGCAATAAATACTATCGGTGTAGATTGGAATAACCAGACGCTAGAGATAGCCATTCGATTGCTCCAAAGTTTGTATGAGGTTGACCAATGAAAATTTGAGATATACAAATGGTGGTCTGCCTCTTACTGACTGACTGACAAGAACTAATCTGTTTCACAGAGGTACTGCGAAAGCCTTCTTGAAATGAAGATAGGTTGCCAGGCAACCAAGCGTATGCCCACAGCAGCTAAATCGTCCGAGCAGTCGACAAGGGTTGTCACATATTTATTCCTTTGTAGGTAATTGGGGGCCTTTACAAGACAGTTCCATACAGATCATATTATAATGTTTTGTCGTTTGAGGGTTCACAAGGTTCTATAAACTGAAACAAGGGCCTCAAACCTGGAAGTAGTCTATAGAAATTGTTTAAATTTGACAGGTTGTGTAAATATTTTCTTCTCTGTTTTGAATATACAAATCCGGGACTAACATATGGTTAAATTTAATTTCAATTATTCTCTTGTGTGTAGGAGTCTTTTGCTGTAAGAGGAAACTGGAGAACACAGTGCCAGGTTAACCTTGTGGGGGGCCCGAGACATACCAATTGTGCAGGCGCCCCATTGTTGTTTGTTCAAATTGTTCGTACTGACCGCGGGCCAGCAATCACATCGCGGGATGGGGTCCCCAGAACTGGTTAGGACCTATTGATCGGTAGAACCTCTGAGTTATGTAATTTAGTTAATTTTAGGGCCTAACCGATCTCTGGGCCCCCTAAAATCTGTTGGTACCTACCATTCTGGGGGGTCCCAATATCCCTTACTGCCCAGGGCCCAAATCCTCGCCCCTCAGCCCAGGTACTGGTTGGCTTTGTCCAGGACCCAGAATTGTGGGGGGCCGGGACATTTGTCCCACTTTGCCCCCCCCCCCCCCGATCCGGTACTGGGAGGACATGGAGAAAACCCACCAAGTTGGGCAGGCAAATCCACTCCTTGTCACAAACAAGAGTGGGCGCAAAACCATGCCACTTTTGATCTAAAGTCTACACACACACACAGTAGATCGTTCAACCACCCAACACCATCGTGTAGTCTGATCTCTTTGACCAGACTAGTAAGTATGTCTAAGATCCAGATAGTAGATGTTATCAAACATATTTTAACAATCAACTATTTTTATTTTACATATGAAAATATTATATATAACATAATAAAAAAAATATATAATTATATCAATAGTGACAAAAAAAATAATTTGATCTTTTATACAAAATCATCACTTGCTTAATCTTTCTAGAATGGACCAGTGTAGTGTGTAGCAGAATTTATAATACCATAAAAAAAAGACATCAGAGAAGACTTCATTACAATCACCCCTTATATGCATTATACCATTCACTGGACTCACAACCTTGTCTATTTCCAAGGAATAAAAATAATTTACTAAAATATCATGAATGACCATATTACCCAGCAATTCAGGCAATACATGCATATTTGAACTAAAGCATATGATATTTCATATAAACTGTACTACCCGGTATTATGTTTTCTACACATGTATATCTACAGACTGCATATGAATATGAAATTGAACAACAATTAAAATTTCTTAATGTATGATAAATATTGTTTGTATACATGTACAATGTATAGTTAAATGTGACACATTAATATACATACATAACTGTACAAAACCTAGTTCTTATTTTTACAGGTATTCAAGGCTACTATAATATATTATTCTTATAAAAAAAAGTTTCATATACAATGTATTGTACATTTATAAAGTGCCCCTGAACACTTATTTCACAGACTGCAGTATAAATATGGAGTATAAAGACATATAATAAATAAAGTATGGTGTTAAGTTCATTAAATTATTATTAAATCATTATTCTGAATGATTCACAGAGAAGTTGACATGACTTTTAATAATGCATATGAATTTACAATAAAATTAAAAAAACATCTTTTGTCACAAGATTACATAATGCGAGCATGGGCAATGGTATGTTACACAAGATACTGCTACTGGTAATTGTGACCAGGTAGTATTTAAAACAGCCATTCACCCAATATTAAGGTAGTAGACTTACACATAACTAGGCACCCAAGATGGATTATGTAAAGTAAATTAACAATGGTCAGCTATGACAGAGATAATGGACAATAGTAGTAATGAGATAATTCACCCATAAACAAGGCCCAAATAGTTACCTTAGTAAATGATGAATGAATGGATGTCAATTAAAGCGGAAATTGCAAATTTTCAAGTTATATTTTTAAAATGTATTAAAATAAAGCCCTAAAATAGATGGTATCCATAAACAGTCCTACCTTGTTAAAGAATAATCCTATTAATCCTATAATTCGCTATTGCCAGCTGAGAAATTGGCAAAAATATCATTTTTAACTTCAATTTCCAACGTTGGAAAATGGCTGCCCCATGTTGTCAATAGCAAAACAGGGGAGGTAATTGTGTTGTTATTTCCTGTGTAATCGACTTGTAAGGGTGGGAATAATGCCCATGATTGTATAATAGTGATTTGATAACCTATTGAGCAAAAGACATAGAAATAATTATGTTTTGACTTTCTTCGAAAATTTGAAATTCTCGCTTTAAATACTACCCCTTAATTATAAAATATTATTAATTTTAATTATATATAATATTATTGTTTATTGTTACCAAGTAACCTCTAGTATATTAAAGGGAAGATTGTAGATGGTAGGTAGTTGACCACAGGCATACTGAGGGGCAGGTCTCTGATAAGTTATTTCTTAGACACTGTTCCTTATTAAGTAACCTAGCCTGTGGGTCATTATTGTATAATATGTATTATTGTTTAAGTTTGCTACAAGAATGGGGAACCATACCAAGAAGAAATGAGTTGTTGAATTATTGTATGGTCAATCTTACACCCCCAACTACATTGAACATATACAACCCATCATGGAAGGTTGGACTGATAAGCAGGTCCATAATTACAGGAGGATATATATATGGGGAGTCCCAATCGATCAACGAAATCTCACAAGCCAAGCGAATGTTCTTCTTTACGTCTACACCTTAGACAGGAGAGATGATAGTTTACTGATGTTTTCTTCTTTTCGACTAAACAAAGAATGATGAAGACAACCCATCATCGAAGGTTGGACTACTAAGCAGGTCCATAAACCCTGATGATATAATTCAAATTCTAATTAATTTGTTGCTTTGTTGTGAAAAAAGGTATCTTGATGACTAATTCAATTACAGAACTAACAATTTATTTTTGAAAGCAAGAAAGTGACTTGACAACAGCAAAAATAAAACTATCTGCCAGTGCTCCTTTAATCTATATCTATGTTATGATTCTTCAATCGACTTTAGCATACTTTCTGCATTCTCCACACTCCAGCCTTGATTCTTCAGTGGCCCGTTAACAACTTGTATATACAGTTTTAGATAACATTGTCCTATTTGTTTATAGTCCAAATGATTAGTTTGAAATAAGTTTTCTTTATCACATTTATCTAACCAGTAACACAGTTCACTGCCATATATCAAGGCTAATACATGGGTATCAGAATATATTCCTGAAAATTTATATGTATTCCAATCTAAGACATTTCTTATTAATAAACAATTATTATTATCTTTGTCCACAATATGATACAAGGAACAATATTCTAGACAGATAATGACTTCAGACTATACACAATAGTAATAGCTTTTAACAAAAATATTTTAAATTCAGTTTGCACGATTGGGGTCATGAGAGGAAATCAATTTGATATTCAGTGTTGTGCGACTTCCGTTCCAGAGTTACTCCCCCCCCCCCCCCTCATGCCACACAGCTATAGTATCTAACAGATTTTTTCAAATTTGGTGTGAAGCATTGAAGTCATAAAGAGACGATGACATTGACGATATTCAATGTTTAGCGACTTTTTCGGGAGTCACCACCCTTGCTATGTGGCTACAGTATTTAAGAGATTAATATTCAATATTCTGTGACCTTCCATACCGGTACTACCTTTCCTTTTTGGAAAACCTTGTGAACAAGATATAACCAATTTATTTTTTAAATCTGGTGTGAAGCATTGGGGTCATGAGAAGTTAAACACAATTGATATTCAGCATTCCACAAGCTTCCATTCTGGAGTTATCCTTTGATGAATACCTTGTGAAAGCAATAGAGGCTAAAGATTTTAACAGATTGTTTTTAAATTTGGATGAAGCATTGGGGTAATAAGAGGAGGAAGGAGGACCCTAGTGAATTTCAGTGTTTTGTGACCTTCCTTTATGGAGTTAACCCCCACTTTTCGGAAAACCTTTTGAAAGCAATAGAGGTTACAGTTTTTAATGGACTGTTTTTAAATTTAGTTTGAAGCTTGGAGGTCATAAGACAAGGAACTGTAGCGATATTCAGTGTTCTGCAACTTTCCTTTCCAGAGTATCACACCCACCCACTTTTACGAAAACGATAGAGTCCTCTTTTTTCAATGGGATTTTTTCAAATTTGGTGTTAAGCACTGAGGTCATAAGAGGGCGAACACTAACTATATTTAGCGTTTGCGACCCTTCATTCTAGAGTTACCTCACCTTTTCTGATAATCCTATGTACGCAATAGAGGCTACAATATTTAACAATTGCGATCACATCAGAGATAAAATTTCTTGAATGCATAAAGGATCCTTAGCAAATTTGGTCGAAGTTTTTCTTTAGGATAAGCTGCTGTCTGGCTAACATTTTTTCGAGACATATCTACTGTGTAGGCTTATTGTATGGCTTTCTTTTAAAAAATAAATATGGGTAATTTTGAATAAATAGGATTGAACTATTGACTTGCACATGAACAGATAAGAGAACTATTGATCATCAGTGTAGATGGATGTTAAGACTTAGTTTCTAAAATACCTGATTTTATGAGGTCAAATGTATCTTCATCTTCTGTCACTGCATATGATCGATCTTTAACAACAGGTTTCCTTGTCTCTAACATCATTTTCAAATTCTCAATGCCACTTACTAAATACTAACCCAAAAAATGAAAGTAAAATATAAAAAAAATTGAAATTCCCCTCTAAAAAGTTAAAAGTTTTTGTTACTTTGCAAACTCTTCAGAATTGTGCGGCAGTTTACTTTATCTAGTAAGAATCGGTTTCCACTTAAGAACTGCCATTATAAAAATGCTTATTTGCACAGGGTCTAAACTTCCAACTCTCACGATTGTTGCTTAAAATAAATAAACATACTGTAATTATTTTGATAACCAAGCTATAATATTTTCCTTGTGTGATCAAAATAACTGATTAAATTTCACACCAAACAGATGATAACTTTGGCTTCTAGTGTTTCCACAAAGTGATCAAGGGCCATAACTCAGGCAGTAATTATTCTAAGTCATTGAAGATCTATATGCTTCTTCATCACATGATCTTCAACATTATGTATAAATCTAAAGTCAAGTAAATGATAAGGAGGTGGTGACAAAATACGACCAATGTAGGCTTACAGAAATTAAAACCAACTTCAGCTCAATCTTTTAAAACTTTTCAAAGTAGGACATCAGATAAAACAATTAAAATTTCTTTTTTTGACCTTCATCAAAAAGTTTCAGCTCCAAACAACTGCACACAGATGATGCGAAAACCTTCATTCAACATTAAGAAAGTTAGCCCCATGACTTTGTGGACACATCCAGCTTCATACTTTTTAAAATGCTATATTAATAAAAAAAAAGGTCATTGTTTTGGCTACTTCCAACTGTTTAGAACCACCACTAAAGTGTCAGTTTCGTTTAGCTCCCCTTATTCAATATTCAGAGGATGTAAGTAAAAGTTAATCTGTGTTTGTTTTGTTATAGGGCTGATTTCATAAACTATTTACTATTCTTATTATTTACAGAATAGATAAATCTATTGATTTTTGTTGTATTAAATTAGCTTACCTTTTGATATTGTTGTATATCTTTATTTATTCTATCTTTATTATTCTCTATAGTTTTACAATACATATAATATAATGCTCCCTTTCTCCAATATATACATTCTAATAACTCTTCTCCTAAACTATCTATAGGCTGAAAAATATAAAATCATATGGGGTTTAACATCCTTTATTTAGGCACCGACTGACGTGCATACACCATGCAGTATGAGGGAAATTTTGTCAAGACAGCTGTGTTTCAGCTTTTTTTTCATCAACTGTCAAGGGTTATTTTATGTGCACACTGCACATCAATGAATATATGAGACCTCAGTCTATTGTCCCATCTGAATGACAAGGCACTGTTCTTTCATTCAAGGCACCCTGTAATGCATCACTAAAAAGAGATACTGCGTTGGAAAATGCCACTGAACTTTCTCAACCCTGGACATTCTGGTTAGCGAGTCACAGACGTAATAAACCATTAAGATAAAACTAATTAAAGTTTCTTGATGCCTCATTTTAAGCAATAGGATACCTTGCAAACTACAATATTGTGAAAGATGGATCGCTAATAGGAATGTAAGTCCCAAAATGGTTCAATTCCGTTCAGTTTCAGTATTTACACAGCACAGTTATGTTGAAATGAAATTCCATCTACCGGTATCTACTTGTATGCTGCTACATGTATGCTGTCCTGTGGACAAACATAAATGATAGGCCCTTTTTTTTAAAAATCTGATTGAATCAAAGCCATGAGGTTATCTAGTGCTGGTATTTTGATTCTGTTTTTATAACGAAATGTTAAATGATCAGTTTGGGTACATATTAGGGTGTATTGAACCGTAAGAAATTTGATATCTTTAAGTAGAAACAAGTTGGAATATCAAAACTGGCCTACAAGTTAATATTTTTCTGATAATATATATATCACCTGCTGATCAGGCAGTATGGTTTTAGCTACAGTTATAATATTCTCTAACTCATCTGAAATAAATAAACACATATAAAACTATCAACCTTTAATTCATGTTTATTACTACAATACTTAAAGGAGCTAAATCGCTAATATTTGGGACCTAGAAATTGACCCAAAAGGGTCGCAACGCATATAATAATGTAATCTGATTGTATATAAACTGATTTACATTCAATTGTTTCCCTTTTAATTCTAATTTCAAATCAGTTATGTCCAGCGAAATACGGCATGAGTCTCAACCGACTGGCAATTTTTAGCGTCTGGTTATTCCAGTCTATTGTGCATGCTCTCCAGATGAGATATGGCGTCACCGTTTGACATGAGTTGTGCAATATGTCTAGCCTCGTTCCTTCTGGTCACTTGTTACAAATGGTGCTGAAACGCACTATGGTACACGATTCGTGTACCAATGGTAAAATGTTTATTTTGTCTTAAATCTTGGATATCAGAAGCCTACCTTTTCCTGGTAAGATCACAACATCAATGTTGATTTGAATTGACAAATAATTCATGTTTTCAACGTGTAAGACTTTGGACGATATTGAGTTAGAGACTTAGCTACTTTAAGTAAATTTAGGAGAAATGGACTAAGTTTTTCATGATCAAAAGAAAGGATAATAGAAGGCTTGAAAATGTACCATAACAGCACTTAAAGCACTATGAAGCAATAGGGCATCTAACTCCCAAGGCACAAAAAAGTGATAGAGTTTATGCAAATCAGGATCATTTGTTGTTATAATAACCTGTTAAGTTTCTCTTATTTCCACATACACGAAAAACATTATTCGATGATAAAATAAAATCTTGTACTCTTCTTGTTATGAAATATATCCATAGGAATCATAAAAGAAGAAGTCTTCAGCAGAGACTTGGGCCTTTTTAGGGTGTAGGTATATATTTTAAAACAAAAATGTACATATCTACCTACTAAAAACTGACTGGATAACAGAAGTTGAAATTGATTCTGGAAAGTCTTGATTTACTAGTATATTTTCATTAATAAATGTAAAATCTAGCACAATCTATAAGGAAGGATAAAGAATAAAACATTAATTAATACCATAAATACATATTATTCTCATTTCAGGTACCATATGGATGAATTATTACATTACATTTGATGTAATTACTGTCCATACTTCTAAAGAGGTATCTGATAGTTTAGGAAGGTGTGTGTGTGTGTAACATTATTATGCAACTCATGCACTTTTCACGATATACACTAATATAGCCACAAAAATAAAGGTTAAATAAGGTGTTGAAAAAATTCATACAGGTGTAAATTCTTGAAGAAGTTGCTGTATTGAGTCTGAAGTATTAGTGGATAATTTTTCCAGAAAAATACTGCATCTTTTATCACAGTCAGAATAACATTCTCTGTCGGAATCTATAATAAATAAGATAAGAGATAACATCACATTGACAATCATTGCCCTTGAATTACTGTATCGGTAAGTGCAGGAGGACTGCACCACACAAAAACCCCTAAGGCAAAACTACGGACAAGATACACATGAAGATATGTGACAACCAGCAAGATAATTAATTAAAGGACACTGCTGGCTAAAAACATTCCAAATGTTAGAGATCATTGCTATGGTTCAATTGTAACAAAGATCTCAAGAAGCACGGTAAAACAAATGAAGGAATGGAAAGCAGTTATTCTACCAACAGAAGTAGACAGTGGTACTGGTAGTTCGAAACCAACTATACATAAAGATATAGGTTCCCAGTCAGGCAACAAAATATACGCCCACAGCAGCTAAATCATCTGTCACATATTCATTCTTTTGTAGGTAATGGGAGCATTTACAAGGCACTGATATCAATTTAATACATATTGTATGATAATTTTATCATTCAAACGTACATGACTGGTATTACACAATGGTATTCTCTGGGTTATATTCCTCATTGTTTTCAATTTTGAGTGAAGTTTGTATCCCTACAGGCCCGAGACTGTACAGTGCAGTGCACGCTTAAGGCTAGCCCCCAGATCCATTCACTTAATTTGATATGTTCGTTTGTTTGTGATTTCTGCATGTTGTGTCTTGTTCATAGAGTGAAGTCTGTATGCCCGGTAGAGCGCAGTGGACGCTTACGGCTAGCCCCCAGATCCATTCACTTAATCTGATATGTTCGTTTGTTTGTTATTTCTGTGTATTGTGTCTTGTCCATAGATTTGTTTTGTGTAAATTACGTGTGGTGCAGTGCCCCTGCACTTACTTTAAAGTGCACATAAGATGGACATGGAAACTTTTCGCTACATGTAGCCAATGGTTACTATATCCACTTTACGGCAAGTTCACTCCAATCTGATTGAAATTAATTCAGCTATCTTCACTCAAAGTCCATGTAATAGACCTCCCGTAAAAACGACTTTGCCAATTATCGAAAACACTCTTAATCCCCTCAGACGCCAGTGACGTCAAAGTGACCGAATGCATATTTGGAATGTTTATTCCTTAACTACCTATATACAGCCGGCGTGTGTATTAACGCCTGACTGATTCCTTAATCCCCTAATTAAATCAAACAATTGACTCCGAAATAATTTGTTTTGTAATTTAGATTGTTTTATAATGTCCCGCCCTCTCTTCTCACGACAGCGATTTTAATAATGTGTTTTAAAGTTGCAATTTCAAATTTTCAAGTTATATTTTTAAAATGTATTAAAATAAAGCCTTAGAATAGATGGTATCCATAAACAGTCCTACCTTGTTAAAGAATAATCCTACTAATCCTATAATTCGCTATTGCCAGCTGAGAAATTGGCAAAAATATCATTTTTAACTTCAAATTCCAACGTTGGAAAATGGCTGCCCCATGTTGTCAATAGCAAAACAGGGGAGGTAATTGTGTTTTTATTTCCTGTGTCATAGATTTTTAAGGGTTGGAAATAATGCCCATGATCGTATAATAGTGAGTTGATAACCTATTGAGCAAAAGACATAGAAATAATTATGTTTTGACTTTCTTAGAAAATTTGAAATTCTCGCTTTAATGTGACTTTTTGATGGAGTCCCTCTTCAATCATGTGCAGTCCAAACGATTCGAGATATATTTTCGTCAGAAGAGTATTGTGGCTCTAACTTCCCGATTAGCCAACTGTATCTCGTTTTCCTGTAGTCATCGTACGGCACTTTTCTTTCTGCATCTGAATTTGACTTCATTACTCTGAAATAGGCCGTAAAAATGAAATACGAAAAAATTGATAATAATATGGCAAGTGTAGCGTCGTTTATATCTGTCATTAATCAATCCGACAAAAGTTGCGCGGACATGGGATCATAAATTAATCAAGAATGCTGATTAGGTAATTATCTTTTTTTACGCCAGCCAGATCAAAGACATCACTCTAGGTGGAACGTGTGTGTAATAATTGTAGAATCGTACACATGTTAATTGTATAAAATAATTAAGTTTTACTCATCAGTTGTTTATAAATATTTTTTACCCATTAATCGATTAGCTTTGCTCGCCGATGTTTTTGTAATAAAGTAGCCTCGTATTATTTGTTGATTGGCGTTTAAACAACATTTAGTTGACTTGATATGAAATCTGAATATAAATTATTTGATGGATAAACGTTTGTGATAAGATAAGGTTATACTGTCTAACATCGTTTAACATTTTTATTAAGGTATTTTGCAATTACATTGACAGTTTAATCACTCACCAAACAGCATCAGGAACTCCACGTATGATCAATTGTATTTGATATTCATGTCCATGAATCCCGTGCAATTTTCGCACCAAAGTTTAACCTCATTTACTATGCCCCTAGTGCATGGAACCGTACATGGTAATAAGATTCCCAGCATTGATTGACTGAGAAATGAGGGCCATCTATTGTTATGCATAGTCATCGGAAAATTCCATATTCGCTGTGAATCTCAAATGGAGTTACGATAAAAGTTGTTCTTTATGTAAATAAATGGTTATTATAATTATATATAGCTAAAAATGAATATATCGACAAATGGCTAGCATCATTTGTATTTTTGTACTTAAGTTTGGGATATCAAGTATTACAGAGTTATCCAAATTTCCAGTAAATGCGCTAATTGCTTGAGTCGTCTTCATTTGACGTGCGGCCTATTTAAACAAAGGGAGCTTAAATGGGTCTATGGCATTTTAAATTCATTCTAAAATATTCCAATCATAGTAATTGGACCGTCAATAGACACTTGTCAAGAGTGTTATATTGTACACACAGTAAGATATTGTATAGATAATGTATAGATAATGTATAATCAGCCGGATTAAGGTCGTAATTGAAAAATTGAAAAGCGTTTTGGCGTGTCGGATACTTAAACGTTAACAGCCGAATTAACTTTAATCAGATTGGCGTGAACTTGGCGTAAAGTGGATATAGTAACCATTGGCAATACGTACATGAAGTTTAGATTTCTCGTCTTATGTGGTCTTTAACTATTAGTATTATCACCGTAGGACTACCAGTAGTACTATAAATTATTAGTACCGGTAGATCTACTTTATTATCATATAATTTATTATATTAGATCTAATAGAGTTTACATCAAATGACAACACCTCATTTTCATAAATTGTACTTCAATGCGTGCATTGGTACCAACCTTTGCAGTTATGGTATTTATCTTTAACAGTTGCGTGTAAAGTCGCAACCATTTCTCTGAAAACTAATACTGTTTTCGAATGAACTTTTTCGTTTATGGAAGCCGCCATGTTTGGATGCAGACCACCAATTACAATATTCTATATTCTAGTCAACCTCACAGTACTCGCGCTTTTATTTGGAGTAAAACATGATCAAATCTGGTTGTATCTGTGGTGGATAGTGTTCAACTCAATAAAAACTTTCGGAAAGGTTCGAGACGGACAAAGAGTCAACAATTAACATTAAACGAATTTGAGAATAGTTGGTGGTCTGCATTCTTTTTATTGCATTAGAGTTATTTCCCTTAGGACCTCTATTTCCACCCGGCAAACCCCAGCAGATTCCAGCACTCGGCAAATCTCGGCAGATTCCGGTACCCTACATCTAACCTCGGCTGTATGATTGTAATTGATATGTACCTACGCCCATACATTTGCGATGATTTACTTTAACAGGAAAACGTGCCGCTTTTACAAAAAAAGTCCCAAAATGGCGTCTTTTGTCGAGTGTATATAACTAAACGAGTAGAGATATTGTCTCAAGGCTGCTGGTTTGATATAATTCCCTGGTAATTCCCCAAACCCAATGCCAAACTTGACGTTTGTTGATATAATACACTCGCCACAGAAATCTCCATGGGCGCAGCCATTTTTCATCCGGGACCTTTAAAATAGTTCCAATATGGCGGAATTCGTCATACAGCCGAGATTAGATGCGTAGAATCTCTCGAGGTTTGCCGAATGCAGATTCCAGTACCCTGCATCTACACTCGGCAAACCTCGGCGATTCCGGTACCCTACCCTAGATGTAGGGTACTGGAATCTGCTGAGGTTTGCCGAGTGCTACATCTAGCCTCGGTTGTATGACGAAGTCCGCCATTGGAACTATTTTCAAGTTCCCGAATTATCAACCGCGTTGACCATGACGACGCCTTTGAAGAATGTGTTTTGTCATACAAATATTTTAAAGTCTGAAGCTGTTTTTCTTTCAAGTTTATCCGATTTTCTTCAAATAAGGACACCTTTGCACTAAAAATTCTACACACGCTTCGAACGACGCAATTTTCCTAATAAGTAAACCGGTGTCACACCGCACCGCACCTAACGTCAAACAGCCGAGGCTAGATGTAGAGTAACGGAAACCGAGGTTTGCCGAGTGCTCTATTTCTCGACGACAATCACAATACTTTTTGCCATTGAAATATAGACTTTTTGCATTCACAAGATACGCATAGTTCACAAACATTGGAGTAAAACATGATTAATTCTTGCTGTATCTGTGGTGGATAGTGTTCAACTCAATAAAAACTTTCGGAAAAGTTCGAGACGGACAAAGAGTCAACAATTAACATTAAACGGATTTGAGAATAGTTGGTGGTCTGCATTCCTTTTATTGCATTATTCCCATAGGACCACTGTTTCTCGACGACACTCACTATTTTACTTTTTGCATTCTCAAGCATTAAGATACGCATAGTTCACAAATATCTTTCGAAACAAATGAATAGAACAAAATGAAATAAACGTAAAGTTTGAAAAAAAAAAACCCCAAAAAACCAACATAATTAATATGACTTTTAGCCAATTTTATTTTGCTCGGAGACGCAATTTTACACATTTCATAGTAGGCCGTAATTCAAAGAGTGGCCTGTACGGTAGGCCTTTGTTTTGATTGCGTATTGAGTTAAAAGTGACCCCACAATTTGTTTGTCGAGTTTTAGAATAAAATGTTGCTGTAGCCTATTATTATATGCCACACGTACGGGCCTTTCTATACCCTTGCTAGCTATTCCTGACTTATTATTATTTTTTTATTATTATTATTATTTTTGTTGTTGTCAAAATGCAGGAAAGGTTACATCTCGACACAAATACATTTCGGAAAAATATAATAAATAACTAAATTTTATCGCCTTGGTACTTAATTTGTAACAAATTTTCTATTGAACAGACACATTTATTAAAAGTTCCGTATTCCCACATAACTTTTCACTAATTAAAGACTAAATGGCGCGCTTTGTTGATGCCACGAAGGAAATAAGTGCCAGTTCGAAATTATAGGCCTAGATGAAATTTAGTAGCTGCAATATTGTAACGGTGTCTTGTGTGGCTGGAGCAAGACGGAAGACATCAGTACAGGAAGAATTTCTAGATGAAAATATATTTATAAATATACCTACCACGGGCTGTTGCGTTAGGTATATAAGGCCCAGGATTAAGAGGTATTCCCGATGCAATAGTATGGTTTATCTCATCTCATGATCTTTCTATCTTTGATTTACTAAATATATCGACATATACTGCAGACATCATAGCCACAGTATATGTGCAAATAGTATTTTAACCCTTCATAACTATAAGGTGTGTAACCATCACATTATTTTCCGATTCGGTCAAAAGATGATTGACGACCCCCTTTCTCTGAACCTGCTTAAATGCTGATGTATAATGAAATATATAAGAATAGTCGGTGTGTGGCGACTGTTTTCTTGAGGTAAGCAACGGTGCATTTAGCTATCCGAAAATCTCGCTCATATCAAGACACAGCGTTCGTTTCATCTTCATCATGTCACGACATTACACTTCGAAAATGCACAAAATGCAACCGATTGATCAAAATTTGTAACTAGAGGTTTATGCATGAAGATAATGATGGTCACTTAAACTTATGGTAGTGATATTGATGTTGATATTTTTGCTACTTATTATGATGGTTGATTATCGTGTTAATGACGGTTGTTGGTTATGATGATGATGATGATGATGATGATGATGATGGTGGTGGTCTTTGTAGAGAGAAATAACTATGAGTAGTAATAGATGTTATACATTATGGTTTAATATAAATATCGATGTAGTTTGATATAAAATAGAGTTTAAAAGAAACAACAATCGATATTGATTATATTCTACTGGTATCCATGTTAACTAAGTAAATCACCGAGAAATGGCATCAAGTAGTCTTAAAACATGAGCCAACAATTTTGGTTGATTTTGGAAGCAATACCAGGGATGTTTACCTCAGTCTAGATTTGTAATGAATCTTTTAATTTTGTGAAGATTACTGAATTTAAAGATACATTATGGGAGATAAGATAAAGAGCTTACAGTTCTCACTATAATAGTTAAAAACGAGATAATGTAAAGGAAATTTCCTGAAAATTTCAGTCAAATTGATCCACTATCAACCGAGAATTAAGCGATTGAAATTTCGGCCTAGCCTTGATCATCATTACTAAAGTCTGTACGATAAAAAACATAGTCTCGATCATCCATTTCATGATTATATTATGAATGGAAGTCGAGCAGCAATTGGGATCATAATCCAGTAAATATCGCAGGTTAGCGATGCCATCGAGAGTTGATTATGGTCTGGATAAGTTAATTAATGTCTAATTAATAATTTAGATAACATTTCAGGCCTAAAAAAAGACCTGCAATAGGCAGATTTAGGTCTTGCATAATGTATGTTTAATCTTTAAGAAAAACTGAAACTGTTTCTACTTTAGGCCTAAGAACAAAGGGGTGGTGTTTTTAGTAGACAACCATTATATTAATTTTAACATTTGCATATCTTCAGATGTGTGATGGGTAGACAAATCTGCAGTCACGGTGACGAGGAAGAATTCTAAAGTAACCGGTTTCTGGAATTATCACATATGTGATAGAGCTGGTTAAACACATTCCAAATATAATTTTAACACAGAGATCATTGCTACGATAGCTGAGTAATACAGGTCTGAAAATTACAGGGTTAAAGTGTGGAAGAGACGTTAAACCACATTCTACGTATACAATAACGGTGATATGATTTAGCTATATATTGACTTTAAGTAACAAATAATGATCGAAGCCCGAAAACTGTCATCGGACAAAGCAAAATGGCCCCAACACCAATAAAATGTAATCGGAATTCAGGTACTTTATTTTGCCGACTAAAAGACTAAAGAAAAGAAAAAAAACCACCAATATCTATAATTTCCCGAAAAATCGGATCGCCCGAATGTTGGGGAGGCAACTGCCCCACCCCATCCCCTGGCTTATACGTCTACGTTTCTTCTTCTGATGATGAACACAGACAATTAAATTTCCAAGGCAGCCCGATGACAACTTGAGACTCGTATATTATGACGGGCAATAACACTGACAGTAGTAATCGGATATCGATGAAAATCAATAAGTTTTTTGGCTCTATGTCCTTACAGAGTATACCTTTCACGTCAACTGATGTTAACTTTAGCTTCTATTAGAGTTTCTGTGTCTGCATATAAGGGGACAAAACTCTGAAAGTACTTATTGGAAATAATTGAATATCAACACGATCCTTCCCCTCTGAAAACTAACACAGCGTTCGTGGACGTTGTGGGCGGCCGACAAGAACACAAGAGAATGATAAAATATTAAATCCCCAAAACGCAAGACAAATTTAGGTTTAAATTCTTATTTATTTTACTTAATATCATATAAATATCACAGTTGTTACAATTTAATATACTTATCTAAAATAAATTATATGTTAAACTCTCTGCTTTATAATTTTATACTTTTAATAACAGATTTAGTTTTATAAAAAAAAATGTATATCTCCAAAATGAAATTGTTTACAATATACTTTGTATTAATCTTTATATGGACCCAAACTATTATAGTTTTAATTTCTGATAATTATTTATGAATGCCTAAACAGAATGACATGTGAGAAGTAAATGAAGAAATAGTATTTTAAAAATAAATTTATATCCCAGCCATTTTATCCAATTGCTGAATCAGTGTTTAATGATTCTAATAATCAGTCTATGTAATATTTATAGGTAAAAACTTGTGCTGCTGTGAAATAATACAATTATTAACGTTGTTTTCAGTTTTAATTGGTAAGAAGTGGACTTGGGATTATCATATATTTTCCTTCTTATTATTACGGCAATAATTCATTCAGTATGGATGTGTTTACAAAATCTATTAAACAGATTTTAACAAGAATTTGAAGTTACAAATTTATGAAACAGATCAAATGAAAAGAACATACCCATTAAACAATCTGACATGTTTTGAAAATAAAAAATATGGCGTGTGCCCTAAATTATATA